TTATTCTCAACATTCATCTCTTGATTCTTACATAACTTTTATACTACTGACCATTCATCAAAATATTTTGTTACTTCCTTCTCTTTTTATAGATTATGCAACGTAGCAACTACTTGATTATCGAAAATGTACTTTGATCTTTATTATTTCTCTTTCTTCAAATCTTAATTTATAATAGATATGTCAGTATATGATTATTACATAATGTATCTACTCCATGAGTATTATATCATTATTGTAAATCATATAGATATGTAGAACCATGACGAAAAGCTAAATGAAAATAAATCTCTTCGCTCGATTCGTTCCTTCCTTACTAACCAAATGTCAGGATGGGAATTTTCAATATAATATAGTGTTATCGCAGTCAACATCAGCTTTTCAACATATTTTTGTAGTGCTTTCAAGGGTAGTTTCACTAAAATATTCGGCAAGATATCAAAGAAATTGTGTTTTTTTTTTGAAAATTATCGAATGTGTAAGCTCTTTTAAATTGATATATCAACTGAGAAACAATCTGGTTTTAAACTAGAGTAAAATACTTTCAGCGATAAAGTTGAGGAGACTAAATATTTTTATTTGATGATTCATTTATATCGTTTAACTTAAAACATAACTACACATAAAAATTAAAAAAGTTTTATTTCACAAAAAGGTATGACATATATGCGTAAAAGTGTAAACATGGTTAATAATCTATTGGTTTACTTTAAGCTAAGCTAATTAAACATTGTCATATAACGTACTTGTGTAACAGAAAAATATATTAAACATCCACAGACTTAGCCATATGGTCTTTGTCAGTACTATAAAATATTGACTATTATTTTAGTTTCACAAGTTGAAATCATGAGTCAATTGAAGTTAGACCACCATGGAAAACCTGGAAGCACTGGACGGCCGTTTCGTCCTGGTATGGGATTCCTCAGCAGTGCTTCAATTGACTCATGATTTCAACTTGTCAAATTTCTAACAATCTCCACAAAACACATTCTGATATTATTTTAGTTGACTTGCTGTTTGTATTATGACAATACATTAGCATTAAAGTTAGGAACATGGTCAGTTTAAACTCTTCTATGATAATGCCTATATTTATATATGTTTATTAAAGAATTGTTTGAACTTACTATATACTGAGCTGTAATGCTGTAAATAGATATACATACATATAGAACTCATTCCTATCTTATAAAAGAACATAAATCAAACGGTAATACACATTTCTACGTCCTGAAATTAAGATAAATACTTGTTTCTCAATGAAAATCATTTTCATTTACATTAATAATATGTCATTAATTGAAACGTTTGATATATCACCAGCAGAAACATTCGTCAGACTTTCTGAAATAATTTTCTTTGATACATTGAAGTATACATATGTCATTAAACCGTATTGAAAACATTTATCACTATTACTTGAAGAAACGATTTAATTTTTATATCATTTTACATAGGTGGATTTTAAAGAACGAAACTGTCTTCACATGTATCTTGCACCTTCTATCCAAATCACCTGACTGCACATATCTGATTATCTACTGTAATGATATCGTGTAAACAAGGATGAAAAATGTTAGCAAAGGGATGTGGTATTTGTACGAACTCAGGATTCCTTTGTAATTGGCGGCCCACTGATTACGAATTCCAAATATAATACGTTCATTTGTGCTCATCTGGTTCTACCTCTTTTAAATTGCACTATTTCAGAATACTCCTAATTATCATAATGAAGTTAAGTCTTTACAAGAGTAATTCTCAGACATCTCGATATTAGACATGAGATAAATGAGAGCAATGCACTTTAAATAATTAAGATATATAAACAATCTTACTTTATTTGGCTGAGGCAATCGCTGTCAAACGTTTGCGACCTAATCTATGTCTACAGAAGAAAAATGTGATTAGCATTTTCCTCTCATCGTGATTAAGTGTTCACTTAATAGACCTTATTGATTTTAGCTTTTATTATTTTTCCAGCTCTCTTCTCAACCTTTTATGTTTGTTATCGATTCGTCTTCTGATATTCGTCTCTTAGAACATCTTATTAGTGATTAAATATTTGTTTATTTTACCATGTTGAGCGATTACCCAATCACTTAGTAATTTCATTACCTTTACATTAACTCTGCTGGACAATGAGACGGACAATATCACAAAAGTTCAATACGGCCTTTCTTCAGGATACTAACAAACTCAACAAATTCAAGTTATCCCTCAGCAATAAGTTCCAGGCCTTTCATGATCTACTCAATGGAGAAAGAACTACTGTGGAGAGCAACTGGAAGAGGATCAAAGAGGCAATCACTTCAACATGTCATGAGATCCTGGGTCACAAGAAGCACCATCACAAGGAATGGATCACTGTTGATACACTGGATAAGATTCAAGAAAGGAGGAACAAGAAACCAGCAATCAATACCAGACGAACAAGAGCAGAAAAAGCCAAGGCACAAGCTGAATACACAGAAGTAAACAAACAAGTGAAGAAGAGCACCAGAACCGACAAACGTAAATATATGGAAGATTTAGCAACGACGACGGAAAAGGCTGCAAGAGAAGGAAACATGAGACAACTGAATGACACGACAAAGAAACTCTCTGAAAATCGCCGCAAACCAGAACGACCAGTGAAAAATAAGGAAGGCGAGGTAATCACTAACATTGAAGAGCAACGAAACAGGTGGGTAGAACACTTCAAAGAACTCTTGAATCGACCAGCCCCACTGAACCCATCCAATATCGAAGTAGCACCCACGGACCTCCCAATCGATGTTCGCCCACCAACAATCAGCATGGCCATCAAACAAATCAAGAGTGGCAAAGCAGCAGGACCAGACAACATTCCAGCAGAGGCACTAAAAGCAGACGTAGCGGCAACTGCAAGGATACAACACATTCTCTTCAATAAGATTTGGGATGAGGAACAAGTACCAACAGACTGGAAAGAAGGACTTCTGATCAAAATACCAAAGAAAGGCGATCTCAGCAACTGTGATAACTACAGAGGCATCACTCTTCTCTCAATACCAAGAAACATCTTCAACAGGGTATTGTTAAACAGGGTAAAGGACTGCGTAGACGCCCAACTTAGAGACCAACAAACAAGATTCCGTAAGGATAGATCGTGTACAAACCAAATCGTAACTCTATGGATCATTGTGGAACAATCTACTGAATGGAATTCATCACTCTGCATCAACTTCATCGACTGCAAAAAAACATTTGATAGTGTGGACAGAACAATACTATGGAAGCTTCTTCGATACTATGGCATGCCTCAGAAGATAATCAATATCATACAGAATTCATATGATGGATTAAACTGCAAAATCGTGCATGGAGGACAAAGTCGTTCGAAGTGAAGACCGGTGTCAGGCAAGGTTGCTTACTCTCACCCTTTCTCTTTCTCCTGGTCATCGACTGGATCATGAAGACGTCAACATTTGAAGGGAAATACGGGGTACAGTGGACATCTAGGATGCAATTGGACGATCTAGACTTCGCAGATGATCTGGCCCTTCTATCCCAAACGCAACAACAAATGCAGGAGAAGACGAACAGTGTAGCAGCAGCCTCAGCAGCAATAGATCTCAATATACACAAAGGGAAGAGCAAGGTTTTCCGATACAACACAGAATGCACCAATCCAATCACAATTGACGGAGAAGATTTGGAAAATGTAAAAACCTTTACATATCTGGGCAGTATCATTGATGAACATGGTGGATCTGATGCAGATGTGAAGGCGCGTATCGGTAAAGCAAGAGCAGCATATTTACAACTGAGGAACATCTGGAACTCAAAGCAACTGTCAACCAACACCAAGGTCAGGATTTTCAATACAAATGTCAAGACAGATCTGTATGGGGCGGAAACCTGGAGAACTACGAAAGCAATCATCCAGAAAATACAGGTGTTTATTAACAGTCGTCTACGCAAAATACTTCAGATCCGTTGGCCGGACACTAATAGCAACAACCTACTGTGGGAGAGAACAAACCAGATCCCAGTGGAGGAAGAAACGCTGGAAGTGGATAGGACTCACATTGAGGAAAGCATCCAACTGCGTCGCAAGACAAGCCCTCACATGGAATCCTGAAGGCCAAAGGAGGAGGGGAAGACCAAAGAACACATTACGCCCGGAAATGGAAATAGATATGAGAAAAATGAACAAGAATTGGATGGAACTAGAAAAGAAGGCCCAGGGCAGAGTAGGTTGGAGAATGCTGGTCGGCAGCCTATGCTCCATTGGGAGTAACAGGCGTATGTAAGTAAGTAATATTAACTCTGAATTATTATTTCCCAGAATAAAAATATACATCAACTAAGTTTATTTATATACTTTGTATCCTTGTTCTCGTTCTTCTTAAGATTTCGGCTACGTTTTGATGATTTATTTAAACTTCACAAATTAAAGTATGCTAACCATTTAATAATAATTATATTAACAATTGTCATTTAAGGTTGCATGAGGCTAATGGGAAACCATGAAATAAAATGGATTCATTTGATTCTGCAATATCTTGTTGTCCTTGCTGTTTTAAATTTGTCAATGGATCTGGCTGCATGAAATATCATGTTAAATAATGGTCAAAATTAACACTTCACCGTAATTTTATGATTGGAATTCTTGCAGAAGTGAAGATATACAGTTAGCAATCTTATTTTGACATCTGATTACTAATATCTCCTAGTATTATGATCAGTTAAAAATGGTTTTGTAATAATTCACAAGTGACTTTTAATTTTCTAAGTCATTCACTTTTCAGATAATACAAAAAACAATCATGAGTCTGTGTTTAAGTAACAAACTATAATACCTCATTGTTCATAAATCCAATTAGTTAAGGTTTTCGGCATTAATCATGGGTGGTCACTTGCTATTAACATTCTTTTTAAGTCCTGACAGTTAGTTGATCTTTACAAATATAATCGTAACGATTTACGAGAATTACCTTAAATCACAGAAAATTGAATAACAGATAACGAGTAAATAGTTACGCAATTCAATCTATTTTCATCTACTAAACAGTATATCCGTCATTCGCCTAACAATTTAAGACCATAAAAGTATACGTTCATTTTCTCTTTTTTCTGGTATTCAACAGTTGAACTGTTATTTGAGTTTCGTCATTAGGCAGCATTTAAAATTAATGAAGCGTCTATGAAAATAAATAGTCTTTAAATACATGTATATAAAAATAGAGGTAGTCATTTGATAAGAAATATCTAACGATATTATTTGATAGATAATAAAAACCAATTGTTTATAAATGATGAATAATATGTTGAATCACTTCACCAAAACTGGAAGACATAAAACATCAGTGTTTTCTTTTTGTTTCTTGGAAACCCTCCATAATTATAATGAAATGAAAGTGTACATAAACAAATAAAGTTATGCGAGAAATTGAAACGTTTAAAAATAAATACTCGATGGATATTGATGATAGAAAAAAAGAAAAAAATTGACAATAATCATAATTAAATCTTACAGTATATTTGTAAAATACTTTTATTTCGAATTGAAAATAGAATGAAAAATAGCCAAATCAAAATATCACAGTTTTTACCATAAATTAAATAGAAATAAATACAATAGATTCTAGAAAACGATGTTTGTCGTAAAGGAAGGAAGACATTCACTCGTTTTTTTGTTTGTTTAACATATATTCATATTTCCATTAGCCAATAAACCAGGATAATGAACAGAATAAGTTTTACATTCAAGATTAATTTTTTTTCTACAATTTTTCACCGGGGCTGATTTAGGTCGCTCACATGGAATTTCAGCTGTTGATAAACGAGGGAAATGTCTTGTGGTTTGAGAAATTTGTCCGGCAGGTATCAATCGATCTGTATTTATTCCATCTGTATTACTAATGCTTCTGTTCATTATATCGTAGGATCCAGTACAAGATGCTATTTAATTAAAAGCAATAAAAAAATCCATTCATATAGGCTACGAAAGTTATTCGTACATGAAATACACAATCCAAAGTCAATTGAAAACAAAAGTGTCACCTCATAGTGTTACCAAAGCAAAAGGGTAACGACAACAAACCTTTATCAAAATACACTAAGTCTACTCCTTAACATTATTATTTAACTAGATAATAATTAGTTCACTTTAAGGTGATTATCTCTGGTTTAAATAAATCAAGCAACAGCGATATTTTAAATGCTAAATTATCTATCATTTATTGATAATTACATACCTATTTATTCAACTGTGAAGTTTGTAAGTATGTAATAATTCCAACAAATGTTAAAAATTACTTAGTTGCCAGTAATTGTTCTTTAGTCAATATTAATCCAGAAACTATATATTTAGACTAAACCCAGCCTGAAAGCGTAACGCATTCATTGCCCTACTTATTGTCTTCTCAATAAACGATATTGTAATTTATGGTATAGACAAAGGTTATGGAATGAGGAAAGAGTACACAAATAAAATAATAGTTTCACATTCAATGGAATGCATATTTTTTGCATTATGGGCTGATGTATAGAAAGCGTATTCTCAATATCTTAATTAAATACCTTTTACTAAAATTCAATCTTACCACTGATGAGCTAGATATAAAAGATTAAAATATTACTACCCACTGACTTGAATAAATTGGTCAGCCTTATTTAATAATTTATATTTGAAATTGAAGTTTATTTTAGGTACTTATGTTGACGAGTATTATCAGGAAGAAACAATAGAAAAGATGGATAGAAGTAAACATTTTATTATCAATTTCACTGATGATGATCTTTCAAACACTTAATTGATGTAGATAGTTTATAGAAAAAGTATAGTAATAATAAGTTGTATTTTAGTAATTTAGATAAGAAAATGTATCATGTTCATATGTGTGCATGTTTCAGTAGATTACATCTAGTTCATTGTAATGATTCGTGCTATTCACTCTATGATCCACACGATTTTCAAATAATGATTTACAACTAGGTTTTAGGAATTAGTACAAATTATTCTCTTATTGAATTTCGAAGGTGTTCTCAAGTTGCTGAGAAAATGTGTCAGTCTCTTTTTACTAAAAATAGGAACATCATCTTCATATTTGAACATTATAACATAGTACAATAATAACTGCAATGAAAATGAAACTAACATTTGATCAATCGATGCTCAATTAAACATCAATGTGAAGAACAAACAATACTTCAACAAGAACACCTAATGAAGTTTATGAGTACCTATCTGGCTATCGTCATTTAACAATAATATATCACTTGACTTTTGAATTAGTCATTAACACGTATTTGCTGAGGAGTCAGTGACGTTATTCATGAAGATTTTATTGCTCTTACAAAATCTTCCTTCATTAGGACTATAGATATACGTCTCTTCCTCGTTTGTTACTATTTAACCATGCTCGCCTGTAGTTGTCCACTGAGTTTGAATATCTCACTCTGACATTCTCCGCAAGTATAATATTTAAGTATAATTCAGTGTCAACTAGTGATTTGATTTGGATTGATGTTCGTGTAGAACATTGACTTAATAGTGAGGATTAACTTCTAGCAACGAATTCAGGATGTTCAATGAAAATTGTGAGAGTGCAGAAGCTAATATGATGAGTACATTGTGTTAGGAAGTTATACTTAATACTAAATACTTATTTTCATATCCTTAGTTTAAATAGTTCGTTAAAGGATATTAGAGATACAATTTACTTTCAAGTTAATAAGTATTCACAAACTATCTAGTTGAAATCAACTTTAAAAATCAGTAACCTGCATGATTTTGTTTGTTATTCGTGTGAGGCCTTTCGTATGTGAATTTAATTATTACAGAAATGACATAGTTTATTCTTCAATGTATGTCAAATAAAATAGTCTACAAACGAGCTTATTGTAACTAATATAGTGGTATCGCAGTCAATGTCAACTTTTCAACATATTTTTTAGTGCTTTCAAGGGTAGTTTCACTAAAATGTTCGGCAAGATATCAAAGAAATTGTTTTGTTTTTTTTGAAAATTATCGAATGTGTAAGCTCTTTTAAATTGATATATCAACTGAGAAACAATTTGGTTTTAAACTAGAGTAAAATACTTTCAGCGATAAAGTTGAGGAGACTAAATATTTTTATTTGATGATTCATTTATATCGTTTACCTTAAAAAATTAACTAAAAACTAACACATACTAAATTTCTTAGGTGAAAGTTCTGTTCACACTGTTAAATTCATAGCAATTCGAGTAAATAAGAAATCATTTATTTATTTGTTACCATGGATACTGATAATCGCAAAGTAGCAACATTGAACAACTCTTAGTTTTCTCGATTAATAAGTCAATATTTTCTACAGAACTCATCAGTTGTGCAACGACGAGAAAATATAAATCCTCAGTCAATAAGCATTAACTTCCAATTATTTATCTCTATATAATAATAAATATTGAAGACATATTAAAGGACTCTGTTCAGTGTTCTTCTATCCTGAATTCTCACTGAAATCGATAAACGTGCTTTTATTCGTTGGTTAGAAGCTATTTAAATCAATAAACAACTTTGAAACGCATGACTTAAGGAAAAATCATAAATTAATCAAATTAGTTAGCTAAAATTTAACTTTTGAAGTGAATAAAAATGTTGTTAATACTAATAACATTTATGTACAAAATATGACATGATTTACTTTGATTGTTCTGAATAGAAGACCACATGTAATAGCTAAGATTTGGCGACCATTGTGGACGAGGGAATAATGTTCTTGGATGTGATATTAATTGTTGAGAATCAGTAACACTAGAATCACTACGATTTTCGCAATCAACAAGTTGGTTGATATCATTATTTTGATCTGCAATGACGTGATCATTTTGTACAACTGACTCTTTTGTTGAAGTAGTTATTTTAATTGAATTGAATTGATTAAAAGCATTTTGGTGTTTTTTAAATTTATCATCATTATTTGTCACTGATTTACCGTGAATAGGCTAAAGTTTTTTAAAAATAAAAAATAAATATTCAGGTAATTTGATATATATATATATATATATATATATATATATATATATATATATATATATATATATATATATATATATATATATATATATATATATATATAAAGCCCTTAATCAGTAAAAAGATAACTTGAAAACCAATTTGTTTTATTTTATCTCGGTTAATCTGCACGCTTACAAAGATTAGGAACGCTCGTATAGTCTCAGATAAAACCACCAATCCAAGACCTTGCAAAAGTTGAAGACTATAATTTGTGAACGAACCGATCAAATTTAAGATAACAGGTCTTGGATTTCAACGCAAAATTCATCTATTCTTTTGGCTAAATAGATTTTTGGTATTATAACTGATGTCAGTTAGTGATCGAAACCCTGAATCTGATTCCTAATCCTAACAATCAACTGTAAATCATAATCCTAATTACTCACACTGCTTTATAAACCTCATTTAGTCTTAGTTGGTGGGTGGACCGTTTCAAAGTCATTTTAACGTTGCTCAATGGTCGTCCTTAAATTATACTCGCACCCTCATTGATGTGGCTAATCTATCGCATGTTAGCCAATACTCTGATTTACCAATGATGATTGCTAACCTTACTCTTATGCCTATAGTGACCTTAGGTAACCAATGTATATCTAATAGAGACATTCATCCGATATCTTCCAATGTAACATTAGAAGCCCATACCTAAATACGTATTTCTAACGTGAAAGCTCTCAAAAACACTGCTAAGTTCAAAAAGCCTATATCATGTTAGAAGATAGCATACACAGAACCGTTTGGTTCTAGACCGAATACCAAAAATATTAATATGGCTCTATCATACAAAAATATACTTCCCGACACCAAGTTTTAACCTACTAACCAAATTAAAGCAAACACAGGTTAAACACCATTAATGAGGAGCTGTTAGCACTTAATACTAGCTCAAAAGTACACAACTTAATTCTCCTTTTCAATAAACGCGTTAAAGCAAATCAAAATGTTGACAAACCATGCATCCTGCATAATAGTACTTTTATATACGACTCTAAAACTATAGCAGACCTTTGCAGTGGTATTTTTGCGCAGGGTGTAGAAGTCATAAGTGGATCTGCTTCAATAGTTATGTGTGTGACTAGCAACTCAATCAAATTTATCTCCTTCACATACTTGAAAATTAGTAAGGTGAGAAGTCATAGAGTAGACGAGACTTCATCTTTTCTCTACAAATAAAGTAGTCCAGATATTCTACTTCTTCTTCCAAAGCTGTTTACTCTCTCTATGAAAGCAGGTACTTACCCTTACTGTTCAAAACCGCGTATATCATACTACGTTACAAATCTGGAAATGACTGACATGAACAATTATCGGCTCATAAATATTACTTCAGTTATCTCTAGGATTATGGAAAAAATTATAAGTAATGAACTTCCCAACCATTTACTCGCTGGAAAATTTATCAATGATACTCAACATGGATTTCTTAAAAATCGATCTTGTATGACATGCCACTTTCACTTGTTTATTTCACTTTTTTCTCGACGTAACTAAGCATATCTAGTCTTAGTTCTATACTTCAATAGTTATAAAGCCTTCAATATGGTTAACCAATAACTTCTAGTTACGGGATCCAAAACCCTCTGCTTGATTGGTTCGATTCTTTCTTCAGCCACCAACATCAAATAGTTAAAATAAAATCTTCCTCATCAAACGCTATTCCTGTCAGAAGTGTTGTAATACAAAGTAGTATCTTAGGCTGTTTTTGGTCTTTATCAATGATATTTATGAATGTTGTCGTGTGGGTAAGACTCTTCCAATGATCTTAAAGAAGTGTATTCATTTTCTCTTCATGAGCTGAACAATGTGCAGAATTTCATCAGCATGGAGCTTTATAAGGTAGCACAGTGGTGCTCGAAATCGCATTTGGAGCTTAACACAGCTAAATGTGGATGGATATACTTTGGTAATACATCACTCAACTTAGATCTTACCATAAATGGTGTGGATTTACCTAAGGTATATACTGTAGTAGACTTAGATACTCCTACGATTTGTTGTTTACAGGACAGGTATTAAAGCAGACCTTCAAGTCTCAACGTCTTATGAGTTATATGACTCGAAACATTTATAACAACGGGTTGAGCATTTTGATGAACAAAGTGTGTGTTTGACCACTCCTAGAATACTGCACGTTTATTCTTAGTAGTGTGTGTATAAAGGATAAATTAAAACTGGAATCAGTACAGAGACGATTTACATTTCGGATTCTTGGAACTGATTGTACCTTGAATTATAATTCCGAATGTAATAAACTTGGGCTGGACCCTTCATGGAAGAGGAGACTCGAAATAATTCTAGTCTTTTCAAAATACTTAACAAACTACTCTTTATATCCAGTCAAGTAATTCAATATGCAGAAACTTCTAATTACGATATCCATAACTCCTTGCCACTAGTGAAACAAACCCATTCTAAACCATTTCTTTATATGAATTACTTTACCTGTATTTTTTCCGGACTCTAGAATAATCTACCACAATCTATCCATAAGATAAAATCACTCCAATTCTTTGTTCGCTACGTTGATGCTTACTGCTCCTCTAAAAATGCATTGAATGTTCTAGAACCTGTAAGTGTATCTTATTCCATAAGTAAGATTATAAGAACTTTAAGTGTTTAGCCATTCTTATTACTGAATTCACTAACTAAAACCACCTACCTGCTGTTACTTCACGTCGACACCGTCTCTGGCAACCTTAACTAATCTGAATAATATCTAACATGAATATTATATCACTGAGTTACAGGACACATGCATTATGTTAGACCTGAGCGGCAATTATTGCTTTGCTTCTCCGTGCTTTCTGTTTCCATTTTACTTTCTCTAGTTGTAGTTGATTATAATTAAATCGTTATGGCACAGAAAATGACCTTAAATGTACCGTTTATAAATCAACAGTATGTCCACTTTAGAAGAATTAAAAGTTCTCGGCGAATTCATAACGTTGTTGTAATACACGTCATAAATGTACTACCCAAACAATTTTTGAACTAATAAACTTGAAACAATCTCATATCACATACATTTTCTCTGAATTTAATGTTACTATTTATATCAAGCTGATCATGCCTGTAAACTGGCATGAATTCTGTAGTTATTATCTTCAGAATATAGTACTAATATGACGTAATTAGAACACAACATGATTTATTTGCTTAGATATTGGAGACGAAATGCCCGTCCTGGATTTTACTACTAGCTACATTTCATCTATTTTACGAAAACTTGTGACAATTGCTTTATCGTGTCAATCTGCGCAGGATCCACACATTTCAATTAAGACTGACTAAAATTCGCTCAACAATATTAGAAATGGAATTATACAAAATTATAAAAAATTAAGTGGTCGATTTTTATTTTGGTTACTCATTGATCGATCGAGAAACTAGACAGAGCACGTTGACACTGCTTATCGTGCTCAAGATTTCTTAGGACTTTGGTTTTTAGATAGATTTGGAAACTGTAGTATATGATGTTTGAAGAAGTGTTCTCTTACTCAGAGGTCTTTCAATCACTTCACAGTATTCATTAATATAAATGTTTGTGATAAAGCTGAAATTACAATTTTCCGTTTTTATTTTTTTACTGTGGAAGAATTTCTCAACTTCTCAATCCAAACTGTTTGTTTTTTATTGTTCTTTTTGACAGTAAAGAGAAAGATTAGTTGAGGACATCGGAAATTTAACATTTTCAACAAAGTTTGGTAAACTATAATGAATTATTTGGTGGTGACGTCTAGGTCTATTATCTGTCTGTGTTCTTACGTGCGACATACTGTGTGCATATCATATAGATATCTTTCAGTAAGTTGAACCATTTTTAATTATTTTTCGTAATATGATCAGCTGCCTTCACGTAGGAGATGAAAATGTCTTTTATTATACATCAAGGACTAAATTGATGAGAGACTGATTAGTGATTTATCATAACTTTGTGTTCGAATTCTTTCCATCGTTTTAAAAACTAAGTAGTAATATTAAAAACTGCTTGTATTTGTGAATTAATTTATACAATAGCTGTTTTTCTTAGGATTTCATGTGATATGCTTAGTGTATACATATATGCGTTATTTCTTCCAAATGCCACTCAGATTTGTATACTTCTTTATATATTTAAGTACAGCAAAAACAAGTGCTTGTTTATCATTCACTACTAACTTATATGCGATTATTGATATTCACACATAATGTTTTGTTCTTCAATTAAAAACCAATAGTTCCAGAATTGTGATATGTCAATTATATAAAATTGTTTTTAAGGCCAGATAAAGTTGGGTTATAATAGAAAATATTACACATTTTTAGTAATCGTAATAAACAATGATTGAAGACCTCTGTCAGAAGTGCATCAATTTAAATTACTATGTATCGTAACAAGATAGAACTAGACAATCAATAAAAGCAGGTAGAGAGATTGATTGAGCATAAAAAGTGTTTTAGGTTGACAGAAAAATAGTAACCGATTTTAGCTGTATTATTTTAATCGATTTAAAGTCGCGTTGATTAGCCTTTTTTATAATCTTTGTACATTCTCCTGTGTAAATCAAAATGTCCAGTCAAGCAGATCGTCTAAGCTTGGTACTGATATCCTCTTTTGTAACCTAACCCAGTGAATGACATCCTCTTTTATTTTGGTAATTATTTGCAAATACCGACTAGCTTTAATGCACAGATATGATGTGTAGGAAAATTATCAAATAGAACCATCAAGAATCTAATTTTGACAAATTTGTCTATGGGATTAAGACATATGAGTCATCTTTGTACCAACAAATATTATAAGAAACAATAAACAGTTTTTGTGAAAATAAAACTGGTAATATTTTGCTAAATATGTTAAACCTGTCGAAACACATGATTGATTGAAGTATAACTCCATATTTAAAAAATAATAATAAAAGCTGTAACCATCGTACTAACCTGTATT